GAGGGGGAGGGGGGAGGGGGGCGGCGAGGGGGGGAGGGGGATGCGATGGGCGAGGAGGACAGTGGTGGCAGGGAGAGTGGTGGAGGGGGTTGGTGATGGGGGAAAGGATTGCAGATGAGAAGCTGAGATCTCACTCACTGACCTTCTGTTCTCAGAGTATAAAGCCTGGACAATAGTTTATCACCAACAGCAGCAAGAGGTCAAAGTAACTGGCTCGACTTTAGAGAAACCTTTTGTGGGACAGATCAAATATTACAACAACACAGAGGAAGAGATTTCTGCGATAACCCTAGCGGCTGAGTATTGTGAACAGGGTATCTCCTTCTCCTGCTATAGGTCCCGTCTCCTCAACAGTCCGTGTGAGTACAAGAGAACTAACTCAGTCTGTGCACTGGGCCCGTGGAGCTAATAGAGAGAGATCAGTTTATCGGTTTTAGATCAGTCTGATCCATGGGCATGGTGACAGATACACATTGGCCTGTCTGAGGCACTATTTGTGGTAATTCTGTCCCTCTGAGGTACCTCCACCTGTCTCTCTGTGATATCACTGCCTGTCTGTCTGTCTCTCTCTGCCTCTCTGGTTCCTCAGCCTGTTTCCCATCCCCACTCCCACCCCATGGTTCCTCTGCCTGTATCTTGGCGATATCTCAGACTGTCTCTCGGCGATATCTCTGCCTGTCTCTCTGTGATATTTCCGCCTGTCTCTCTGTGATTTCTCCTGCTAGCTGGGCTGCCTTTCTCCTGGTGGCTAGGCCGTGGATTTGAGAAACATTTCTATTGGGGAGGTGCGACTCCTGGGAGTCAGAGATGTGCCTGTGGGATGGAGAAAAGCTGCACTGACCCCAAGTATTTCTGCAATTGTGATGCAGACTACAGGCAGTGGTGAGTTAGCTGTGTAACTGCTGACATTACCAAGTGGTGAACAATCCTCTCTGTTTGGAAAATACCTCACTTTTGTTTATTGTTTCAGATCTGTGTCCATTCACCCCACCCCCATTTCCCCATATCTCTCGATCTGTCTCTATTCACCTTACTCCCGTGTTCTATCACACCGCTCCCCCGCTGAAACACCAACACCACCATGTTGTCTCTGATGACCCTCTCTATCTTCCTTAGGAAGACTGACCGAGGTTTCCTGAAGTACAGGGAGGACCTGCCAGTCACAAAAGTTGTTGTTGGTGACACAAACCGCTCCAGTTCTGAGGCCCGATTTACTGTGGGCTCTTTGCGTTGCTATGGAGATGGTGAGTGCCCTGGAGCCTGGTGGTTTGGGCAATGAGGAGGTGGGGGAGGAGTGGGGGTGTGGGTATGGGGGAGGGGTGGGGGCATGGTGGGGGGGGGGGGGGGGGGGAGGGGGGGGGGGGGGGGGGGGGG